GCAACAATTTCACTCTCAAATCAACCATTTAAGAGCAACCACTAATCACTCACCTTGGAGAACCCTGACGCTTGTAAGGAAACTGACCGATTCTGGATTTCAAGGCTATAAGAGCCTTTTCCGCAGCCTAAGGAGAACGTTATTGAATTAAGAGCATGAAATGCAACGAACATATATAGTAACATTGAAATACAGCCAAGAGTCAGAGTTGCTACTCAGGTGATTATTAATGAAAAGAAAATCAAAAAAATAAAAATAAAAAATAGAAAGAGAACAACAAAAAGTGAAGGGGGTGTAGTACCTCTGACTTAGCTTCAGTCCATGTTAGCCCAATTCCTGTGCCCAATACTTGACCATTGACTTCAACCTAAATTTTAGAAAAGGAAAGTAATTAACTAACATGAAGTTCTTCACTATCATTTTCCATGTTGAATTTTTTCACCTTTTTCTGGGTAAAGGAAGTCCTGTACCCAATTCATGACAATAAATCAGGGAATGCTCCTCCACTTTGTATTCTCTGTTGACTTGGTGTCTTTTATACATATTAACAAAGTCACCTACTGATGTTATTACGAATTTTAATTATTGGTTCAAACTTCAATAACTCCTATCGAATAAATTCATTTATGTTGGGAAAAGAAGTATATTGATTAACATTAACACTCGTATCATTCAAGAAATATGCAATTAATTTGTCTTGATTTTCCAAAAGTGACGAACGGAATGAAACATTTTTTTTCTATAAAGTGACATATAGAACGAAATGAAGGGCATATTAATAATATACAACTAGTTAAATGAGCAGGTTACCCGATATCATCCACATCCTCCAATTCCCATAACATACACATCATTCTCTCTACCATAATCTGAATTCTAAAACCAACAATCATCTCTAATAAGCCTAGCTAAAACTGAGAGTAACAGACTATCTCTCAAGCACACAGCTAAAAGCCTAAAATGGCCAAGAGATGGGGTATTTGGTTTCAAGGCCAAGGCACTCAGAGAATACACAGCTTCAAGGAACAAAATTAAGATGAAGTTGAAACCATGAAAAGGGAGTATCCCAGAATTTGATTGAAGCACAATATGGTAACACGAAAATTTAAAATAGAAACCGGTCAAATACATGAATATTAAAATATTATTCAACACCTCCTGTTTTACTAAATTGTACTCGAACAAAAATCTTCCAGATATACTTGATCCCAGAATAGGAGGCTTTAATTATCAGAAAATTTATAATTCATACAATGATACAAGCGACAGCAATAATATTGCTGTACGCAGCAGTAAACAGAAAAAAGTAAGTGATTTCATACCTCAGCGTACACCTCATTTTTCAGAGCAGGATTAGCTGAAAATTGAGACTTAGTTTGGAATGCTACACCAAGGCCCTCCATCATACACTGAAAGAATAGATGATTAGCAATGAAGCATGTCAATGAAATTAATGCAATTTATACATACCAAAAAGCATGCAATACAATTATATAAACCAATGAAACCTTTGAATAAAAAACGTGTCAGTATAAAATACATACTAAGTCTTTAAGAGCAGCTATTGGGCCCGTATGCCTCTTGGAGGCCTCAATTCTTGGATCTAAAATCCTTTGTGGTGGTGGGCCAACTGTTGGAAAGGCCCCATCCTCCTTAGGCAATGAATGATACCCAAAGGAGTTGACATCACTAGTGAAATCATTATCTACTCGACTATCAAACCTATTCACATCCCCGGGCTCGCAGCCGGATTCAGGCCTAATCTGTGACAAGTATTTATCTACAATGAAACAGTTTGCGAAGATTAGAATGAGCTTCAGAAGCAAAGCATGATACTGCATATTATAGTCAAATCACGCCAACTGAGATATTTGAAGAAGAAAGGATCAGGCAAATAATCCAAATAGGAGCTAAGAGAAACAGAAAGACACATGTTGAAACAGCAGAATTTCAAAGACATGCAGAAGTATGCATTGACACTTTGATGTTAAAATAAAAATGTCAGTCAGACAACTAAACCGCAAAGCATCCTTTCATTCTTGGGTTAGAGAAACTATAACTTAAGAAAATAAAAGGAAACCAGAAAATCTAACTTTAACTGGCCACACGAAACCAACAAGAGTGTTTCCCTTTGCTCTTAACTAATTGGTTTTTGGGTGAATACAACATGTCAAAAAATGATTAATTTTCTATTGAAAAAGTAACAAATACAGACTAGAGAGGCACAGTTTATTAGAAAGAATCCAATAACAATAATTAAATATACACATTTATATGCATTATATTATATTAAAAAAATTACAACATCACAATCATTTCAACATTATGGAAACCAATATTATATTCTACCAGCCAAATATAAAAGAGATCCTTCAACAGCCAAGCGTTGTGCTTCCCTTCTTGTTCTACCAACTCCTTCACCAACTCTTTCCCCAGCGAACAAGACCTGCAGAAGATAAACATAATACAACTGCATTGGTCCTTGACAATATCTTGAACATTACACATAAGTGTCTCAACTTAACTCGTTCCTCAAATTTTCAAATATATTTATATATAATATATATATATATAATTGGGAGAGTATGGATCCACCTATATTCTCTGTATGTATCCGAGCCTGAGTAAGAGAGAGAGAGAGAAAAAAAAGGAATGGAGGGAAAAGGCAGAACATTAATTTTTATTTTTATTTTCTCTAATCCAAAATTCCTCCTTTTGTTAGTCAGTTGATAATGGAATGTCCGGAATCACCTCTACAAGAAACTGTAATTCTGTGCTTGACAATATAGATTGCTTGTACTCCACCTACAGGTATTTGAAGTAACCATCTGAGAACGTGAGAAGTGAGCCACAAAACAGTAAGAATAGGCAAGGCATCAACTGCTGTTTAGTACCTTTGTTCCACACTTGAACGCGATTTCCTGTAATGCTCCAGTACATGTTTCAGGGTAGGGACCAATCTGTCCAGCTTCAAGCTCGAAATCTTTATTTGATGAAGGTGGCTGAGGTACAGGGCCATCTCCACCTAAAAAATTATAAATACACAAATAAAACACCGTTTTCATAAATGAAACTAAGCAAGTACTTGTGTTTTAACTGTGATTGAAACATACTGTCAAACTCATCTCAAGAAAAATAATATTATATCAGATTCCGAACACTAAGTTTCGAGCAAGATCTGTCTTTTGGGGAGTCTAATTCGGATGTGAAACTACATCAGCAGTTATCTGGTATACGCATCTTTTCCACTTACTTATGGTAACAAAAGTACAATGCTTACCCAAAAAAGACTGATAATCAGGCGCTGATTGATTTAATATCAATTGATCTTCTCTTGGAAATGCCTAAACGAATAAAATCTCTAACATCAGGAAACTCGTCATCACCGAAAGCCAATTAAAAGGTTAACACCATGAATACAAATAAATCATTTACCTCCTTTGGCAACCTTTGGCTTTCGACAACTCTACCAGGAGGAATCAAAGGTTCCACTTTCGGGAGAAAAGGAGGAGGATGATGACCCCGATTCTTGTCTATCGGGAGAGGCTCCGTATTCAAATGGAACTCCTTGGGTGGACCCACTCTGTTTAATTGCCGTGGACTCATTTCTTCTTCAACGGGAAACCAACCACGTGGTGGAACTCTTGGAACAGACACTTGCATGGGAGGTGGTGGTCCAGGTGGACGAGCAGAAAAATGAGGCTCGGGTGGAGGCTCTCTCACGTCTTGACCGTGTTGCAAAATTAGCATTCTCCTCCTTGTGTCGGGATCTAATTCTGATTCTGGAACTTCACCCTCTTCGGTGGCAGGAGAAGTGTGCAAGTTAGATTCTATTTGTCCAAGTTGAGATACCAGCGGTTTATGGAGTGAGGTCACTTGAGGTAATTGCTGACTAGGAAAAGACATTGCTGGCCCTTGTATTGTTGTTATGGGAGGAACTGAGAAAGAAGAGGATGGTAGCGCGTACTGCAAAGCGGATGTGATTCTCGGATCTAAATTTGCAATTGGTGGAGAAGATGAAGAAGCTGACATAGCCTCCTGAAAGAGTTTGATTTCACTAGTTATGGTATTGTTAGCTTGTGCTGAGACTATTTTGGATGCGCTCTGGAGGATGTACAATGAAAGTAGCATGCAAGAAAAAAAAAAAGAATGAAAACAGAAAACTAAGGCTGATGTTGGTTAGTGATCAAGAAAAGATCGGGGGGTGGGGGGGTGAACAGGGTAAATTATTGCGAACGTTAATATTAAAGAAATGCACCAGGAAATATAATACAAGTATCCGGCTGGTGATTGGAAAAAATCAGGGAGACACAATGTTAGGGTGAAACAAACAAAAGGAAGATACAATAAAGCAAGATGTTCACCTTTAATCTTCTTTCCACCTCGGCATCTGCCATTCCATCAAAACCAAGGGAATCTCTGTTTCCGTTTAAAGCTGAAGGATCATCCTAAAAAGGAAAAAATAGAAGTAGAAAATATCATTTATGTCAGCCGATGCTTTCCAGCAATACAATAAGCAGTAGAATCGGAAGTTTTTTAATGAGTGGAATATAGGTTTCCTAAAATGACTAAATAAATCTGCTTTAGCAAATTCAACTGTGTACAGACTTGGACTTACCTCTGAAACTAAGTAATGGCTGACATCAGGTGAGGACGGCACTTCTTTAATATCATCTTCATATGCAACTCCAGAAATCCGTTGCAGCATACCATCATCAAATTCTCTGGGTTAAAAATGTCCCAAGTCAAATCCAACAACAGGCACTTAAAATACTGAAAGTGAAAACTGCGAACAAAAACAGGTTCGTTTAAACTTACTTAAAGAAACCGCCTCTCACATTGCAGGCTACGTTTCTAGCCACACAGAGCACAGGCACAGTGTTGTTGGCCTACAGATAAATCATTTTCATATCATGTCGGCAAAAGTTTAATGTTTTACCATATACAGAGGCTTTCGGTAAAGAAACAACTACCTCAGCTTGAGGTGCATAATATGGAGCAAATGCTGGAACAACATGGACTCTAGGTTGATCTTTGTCATCCCATACTTTTAGTCGGTCATCAATCACCAATGCCATCTTTGGATGACAATTCCCATTTTGGAAAACATTGAATAGTGATTTCCTAGAGCCTGCAACAGAAATGAACAGAAATCAATGTTAATAATTGATGAACTCTAAAGAACATAGTGGTTAATCCTACAGCACCTAAGCACTTACCAGACTTAACGCATACAATCCGGTCCAAAAGCTCCTTCAAGTTTATCAAATTCGATTCTGGATCAAGAAGCCTCCACATTTCTAAAGCATAATCTCTTTCAGCCATCGTGCAAACAAAAACTTCAAACCGCTTACGTCCTCTAGCAGTCAAGTAACTTCTCAGCTCCTCCCATGCCGGTCTTAATCTCACAAGAACACTAGTATCACGTATCTACATTGTTACAAAGAAGTTAGCTACGTGATTTGATTTGACAACTGTTATAGAAAAAATTTTACAGAAATCACCGAAAAATATAAAACATCGACCCGTCAAAATTCAAAATTGGCCAAAAAAGGTTCAGAGAATGTATATAAACGAAAATACCAGGACAGCTCACAATCAAGCAATATATTCCGGAGAAAACACAGCACCCTCACCAGTGGATTAATGCGAGTAAGAATAATATTCCTATCCTGAAGCCGTATAAGAGGACGGACAATAGGCTGATGGGTCTCGGATAAAGCAGGAACCAACTCGGACTGAGACTTGATAACCTTCCCATTGTCAATCACCTGATCACTCTCCGCATATTGCTTCAAAATATTTTTATCATCCTGATAACGTTTAACCTCTGATAACATCCCAGAAACACGCTGAGGATCGCTCTCTGTACTTATTTTCCTCTGCAGTGCCTCTATTCTGTCCTCAAAAGAACGCATTGTATTTGCAACTATGAGAGTCTCGTCAAGATCAAATACGATACCAAGACATCTGAGGTTCAGCATCACAAGGCAAGAGTTGTATAGGCTTGACGACACACTGTAGCCCCAAAAGCATGGGTTCTGTCTGTCAAACTTTCTCGAGTGCATGGCAACTAAGTGAACCTCCCCTCCTCCAATTGATGCTACAGCTGTCTAAAAAAATATCATGACGAGAGATTAAGGGGGGAACCAAAATTGCATAATCTGAACCCAAAATGACATATACATCAACAGAAGATGCCAATATGTATATGCTAAAACTAAAGCACATTGAAGTGAATAGGATGGCAAAACATTACAAACTCTTGGAAGTTGGAAATAATGAGTTCAATCGCAAAATATGTTACAGATTACAGAAGCATATTCATGTTATCTCAGTTACAAATTTATAGATTGCATAAAAAATACATCAGGATTATCGTCACTCTTCCTAGTACCTTTTTTTTTCAGCAATTATGTACAGTTTAACTGATAAAGTTTCTCTTTGACAGTTTAAAACTTGTATTTCCTCAGTGTTAAGTGTGTAGAAGTTCGTGAAATGTCATAGGTTCTCTCTATCTCAAAACCCCAATTAGGGTTCTGCTATAATTTTAGGTTTACTTCAGTTACTGATGAAATGAGAGTTTTTTTCCTTTTCATTTTTTCGCTGGTTTCTGTTTTGCGGCAGTACCTTGTTTTCTCTGAGACAGCTGACATGCAAAAGCGAAAGCGGCGAGTCTTGATTCGAGGCCGCAGATTCCAGTTTGAAGCATAGTCCGGCGGGGTTTATGGTGTGGAGCACCGCGAGCGGCGGGCACCTCTCGCTCGGCGGCGAGTAGTGCGATATCCGAATTTCCCTAAGCTCGGCCCCTAAAACGACGCCGTTTTGGAGGTGCACCTGCACCTCTCCGAGCACCCTATCCCCGTCGTACACAGCCACCAATTTCGGATACATTCTTATCCGCTCAAACAAAAGCTTAAAGCTCGAAAATTCGAATAATTTCCTGGCCCAATTTTCACTACTTCAATTGTGTAAATATGCACATCAATCAATGATTCAGTCGATCAAGTCGACAAATCCGGTCCAATTGTATTTGGAACTCCATCAATTTCGATTCCTTTCTTTCTTCAGATTTACAGTGAAATCCAGATGGGAGCATAAAAATTTGAATAAAAAAGTAGGGTTTTCTTTAAAAACAATAAAGATTCCGGCGAATACAGATTGATTGTCGATTGACGATGGTTGAATTGTTGAGTTACTCTTGATTGTATCCAGAAAATTTTACTCAGATTTTTTGAGAGCTAGGGTTAATCTGATGAGTGATGATCAGATTTCTATAGTAGACGATGCTTGGTGTGTGTGTGTGTGTGTGTGTGTGACGATTAAGCAGAAAACCCTAGATCCAGAAAATTTTGGGGTCAAAGTATCTTCTGTATGCGTGCATATCGTCTACATGGAAATAATAATTGGAATACTTTATTATGGCGCATACGTTATTTTCTCTTTTTTTTTTCCCTACAATATCATGACTCTATAAAGTCTAAACCAACAAAATATATTTTATTTTTCAAAACCATATTACATTTCACGTATAAAATTTTAAAATATGATCATACATATCGTTCATCTATGGAATAAAACATGACTTTGAAATAGGAATTCTCATCCCTAAATTAACGAAATACAAAGTTTTATGTCACAAGAACGATTGATCGGAATAAACAAAAGTTTGATACAAGATACATTCGCACAAGTTGTAACTAGGTCAATCTTCTTAAATCCACATCCAACAAGTTGTAATTAGGTCAATCTTATTATATTCACATCCAACGAAATAAAATAACTTTAAAAGATTGATGAGAACAAACCTAAACACACAAAAACTACAATACAAACTCGCATATCAAATAAATGATCAAGCGACTACACACAAAAATAAAAAGTAATAACTAAAAACACTTAGGTCATCACCCGTCGTCAAGCATCACCACTACTACCATAGTACCATACTAGCCGAAAAAACAACCACCTAAAAAGAAAAATGTCGCGGAACAAGAATTGTAGATTTAAAAACTCCAAACTCTAAGATGACTATAGACTAAACAAATATGAAACGAGAGAACCAAATCCTTTATTCAACAAACGAGACCATCAAGAAACATTGACCGAAGGGTTGAAAGTTGCCATGTCCTCCAACACGTCGACATAATCCTCAATCAAGACCTCCAGCAAGAGGGAAGAGCCCATCGCGAAGGTCCCTCCTAGTTAATTGAAGTATTAATTGTGTCGTACGTTATTTCATTGGTCATTTAGACTATTAAACTCGAGACTGTGAGTGTAAATAAGTTGATCCAAGCTTGAGTTCTCGATATCCGTGCTCTTTATCGAGATGTGAGCTTCGTTCTGAATATTAACAAACCAGAATCGAGCATAAAAGAGTTGAGGTGTAAAAGAAGTAATTTTTTTTTTTTTTAATTTTCGAACCTTGACTAAACGAGACCAAATTTGGCTCGTTCATTATCAAATGAGTCGAGTCAATCTCAGGAGTGGTTCTTGTAATTTAACAACTCTCGTGAGACACAACTAAAAGTCGTGCTTTTGTTTATACTGTTCTTTCAATTGTGACATTTCAGTTTAAGAATATAGCTAGTACAACACTCGTGATTGCACGAGTTCTATTTAGAAAATTATACTGACATTCTTAAAAAAAATGTAAGAGAGAATTTTTTCTATTTAAATCTAAAATACTTATTAAAAAATGAATTATAATTTATATTTAAAATGAGAGTTTATTTTTTTATAAAATTTTAAATAATTTTTATAATTCATATGTAATGAATTTATAAATACATTTTTAATTGATATATAATTTTATTAATAGTATTAATAGATGATTTAGTTTTGTAACAAAAAGAATAAAATTATTTATTTATTTTATATATGCATTATGGATATCAAGTTGAAACTAGTCAAAAAATGATTAATTTAATATATTATATATAAAAGAAGGTAATATATACAAAAGTTATTAATTTTTAAATATATTTATAATTTAAGTTAGTCACGTGTTTTATAAATTTAAAAGTCCTAGTAGGTATAGAAAGATTACAGATCTACATGGACTACTCATAAGTACCAGAAATTATTACTTAAAATTACGAATCACCATAATTTGACACATATGATTGCGATCGACATGTAGGATTAGGACATTTTTCATATAGGGGAATAAGTTTTCATGTGGGTCAGTGGAACTGTTAGTTTGGTCGACTCGTCATACTTTTCCAATAAAAATGCACTTATATTATGAAATGTTATACTTTTGTTTATATTGTTCATGATATTTCAGTTTAAAAGTATGCATATATATTAAAAATAATGTGGAACCGTTAGTTCCGTCTAACAATAGCTTTACTGTAACAACATCAACTTAAACAAAAAGATTACAATCAAAATAACAGCTATAAAGAAGTTTTAAGTTGATTGTGAACATGATCTTAAATGCAGTGCAGACCACAACTTGTGCAACAATGTTACAGTAAAATAAAGCTCTGATTTTTCTCCTAAACATCATATATGGAAATTATTACCACACCTCATAATTCAAGAGTTCTTTTCCTACTTTAGTCTCTAGTTAGGGATAGTAAAAAGTAAACACAATTTACTTCACAACTCACTAGCAAGGCCTTTGTCTGAATCCAAACCTCTCATTCCTCAGATCAAACTCCACATGAAAATTCTGCATCAAGAAATTACCCAATATCACAGACGGCCCGCCGCCTCCGTTAACTTCTGAGCCAAGCAATGTATTATCCGTCACCATCGCCAAGCACACGACCAACTTCCGGTCATCACTAGCGGCAAAGAAATAGTTTTCTAACGGCAATTCCATCTCTGCCCCTCCCTTAAAATGAAACTTCAAACCCGGCATTTTAATTACCTTTTCTCCCGTCACGTCAAAACACGGCCTCAAACCCGTTCGAGACTCCACATTAACTTCCCTTTCGTAATTTTTCACTTGCACCGTAAATTCATCCGCCACCGCAGTAAAAACCGCCCTGTTCATGTATGTAAAAGTCGAGCCCGAATCGACTATAGTCCCACCCCCACCACTCGTCTTATCCAGGCACAAATTTTCGTATGGAATTTCGACCTTTTTACCTCCCACCGTAATTTTTCGTAAGCCGACATAGTAATATTCCGGCCCAAAAACCGGGTTTTTCAAGAATGGGGTGTAACTGAATTTCGCGGTTTTTTCACCGGAATCGAATAAAGCGTCCATATAAAGCGAGCCGCTTTTGGTAGTGTCGAGGCAGTAAGAGAATCTTTTGAGTCCTAATTGGCTAGGGAGAGAAGTATTTCCCCTGCCGAAACCGGCTACGCCAGCTGGCAGATTGGACGAGAAAATCGAGCAGCCCACGAGAAAATCGTGTATTTTCTCGTTCGGCAAGTTGAGTATTTCTGACATGGCTACGCCTGCAGTCGAGCCTTGACCGTATAATATCATGTACGGAGGGCATATTTGCGTGCAGCTCGTCTGGTTCGCCACCTGGCACTCTCTGCTGCAGCTAGAGTCCGGTTCGAACGATCTGTGGACCCAACCGCATTTAGGGTTCTTGCAGCCGAGGATCTTGGCCGAGGAAGATTGTTTCGGTATGAAAGATGATATGTTGTTTTCCGAAAAAAACGAGCAATTTTTGCACGTGTATCTTCTCGTACAAGGGAACCAAGAGAAGCTGCTGCCAGTGTCCATGATCATAGCCATGGTTTGTGGAGGTGTGCCGAAGCTGAACGAGATCGAGTAAGCTCCACTGTAAGGGTACAGTGGGGTGGCGGCAGAGGTAGGGGCATTTTCGGGATTTTTGAGATGGTGGGCTCTGGCTATGGAGTTTGAGGCTAAGTATGTGAGCTTTTGGAAGGGGTGTGAATGTGGGTTTGTGTTGAGGAGTGAGATGGGAATAGAGGAGTTTGAAGATGAAGAAGAAGGAGTTGAAGGTGAGAACAAAAGTAGGAGGAAAATGAAGAGGAGTTTGGAAAAAGGCATTGTTTTTCTAAGGGTTTTCATCTACTGATCAAAGTGCAAACTAAAATTGGTTTTTATTTGGGTTTTTTAGTGACAACATTAATATAGCTCTTGAAGTGGTGATTTATGGGCATGTGATTTAAGGAAAAATGAGTAATATGAGTGGATGGGAGTACAGGTGGAAAATGTGAGCTAATAAAAGACAGTGGGGCCTTTAGAACAGCTTGGGATAAGTAGATACTGAATTTAATGGTCCACACCAGTTAGCAGTAGCAGTTTCTAAGCTTGTGTTAATCATTTTTCTTTTTTAATTATTATTATTATTATTATTATTATTATTATTATTAAAGACTTATTATTATTATTATTATTATTATTATTATTATTATTATTAAAGACTCATTCTGCCTGAAACTGGTGAAAAGAAGCTTTTTACAGCTCATTAAGCAGGCCACATGAGTACAGCACAGGTTGCATGTGACTGAGTTGCTTTCTGATTGAGATATATTGCTATGCAATGGACATCAAATTTCACTTCACCTTTGGGGCCCTTCATTTATAATAAACTTCTGTGGTCACTCAAAGAAAATAAAATATAATAAACTTCAAAGGTGTTAAATTGGTCATTTCCATTCATTCCAAAATGTATTTTGCAGTGTGTTTTATACATAAAACTAAAGAACATACAATACAGACAAATAATTCCCACAATTTTCCTTTGTCACATAGGTTTCAAACTTCAAAGTGAGCAAATGCACAAGGATTCCTTCATTCAGAGAGGGATTAATCATTACCACACCTTTGCTTTTTTCCGTGCCAAGAACCGAGCCTTGGCTGCAGCCACTGCATCTTCACTTCTCTTGTGATGGTCCTTAGCTGTCTCATCATTTTTCTTCTGCTCGTCGGGTATCATCTGTTCAGTAGCCGATGCTCCCTCATTCGTGTCTTGTTCATGATCGGGAGATTTTGAAAGGGGTCCCTCAAGAGAATAATTCTCTACATTAGCATTGTCATCTTGATTTCTCTTCTTCTCTATTGCAGATGACTCTGGAGTTATTGCCACGCGAGAAGATTGTACCGGTGCTGCCTGAACCATTTGTTCTTTAGGCTGCTTCTCGAGTATACGGGAATCCACTTGTCTAGCACCATACGCGACATTTTTGCCCAGGTTGAAATAAAAATCGCTGATGTCCGTTTTCTTGGTGACCTAATCAATTAAAAAACAATACTGTGTAAAAAAATCAAATGACAAACAGAAATTTGAATCAAGGTATCACCAAAAAAAAAAACAGCAAGAATAATTGTGATAATAAACGTTGCACAAGTGGAAAAAGTGAAAACAAGATAGTAAGGGCGTGCTTGGATACAAATATATCCGCTCAAAACATGTTTTTTTGGTTAACGAGGGTTAATTTGGAAAAATGTGAAAAATGTGGAATGGTTAGCTGCTAGTGAGATTTTGATTTTATATTAAAATAGTATTTAAAATAAAATAATTAAAGTTGTTTGATGTAAAAGTAGGAGAAAGATTATGTGACGTGATTGTTAGTTAAAATTATGTGAGTGGATGAATACTATAGTGAATTAAAAATGATGTGATGGGTAAGAATGATGATTGAATATTATTTAATTGTATTGATAATATTAGGGATAGTGGAGTTGGGTTAAAGTTGAGTTAGGTTTTGAGTATGAATTGAGTTTATTTGTATCCAAAGTCCAAACATGTCCTAAGTGATCTGATGTAAACAATAGGTGAAAATCCCAGTAGCCGTCATAATCTTAATAAGTAGAACCTAACTAAAGTGGATTGGCAAACATAAGTTTTTGAAGTTCAAACTTAAAATTATTTCAGAGCATCTTACCTTTAATGAGCGGAATTTCAAGATTCACATACATTATCAGCCGGCTAAACAAGAACTTAAATGCCGACTACATATGTTCTTGTATAAACCGTAAAAGCTAGAGAAAGCTGGACTTACATCTTCCTTTTCCTCTCTCAACTCACGAAGCCGCTCTTCCTCGAGCCATTTGGCTTGCTCAGCCAGCTTTTTCTTGTAAGCACTTGTAACAAATTTATCTTTGTCAGCATAGAGGTCTTCATCCTTGCTTCTCTCTTTGGCTAGCTTCCTCTCATATATAATCTCATGCTCTTTTTCTCGCTGTTTAGCCTTATCCATTAAGGCTTGGATATATCTGGGCTGCAAACAAGATGCAAATGACATGAAGTAGTGCTAAAAGATGGTGATAATTACTCAGATAGAGCAAAGAGAAACTAATAAAATGCAAAGAAGAGTTACTAGCACAGCTACTAAACATCAAGATGCAATATCTCAAACAGCAAAATGTGCTAACCTTGAACGTTGTTTGAAATCATTGCACCCAAAAATAGAACTCTGATTAATTATAAGTTTGAAACAATTACTTATTATGAAAAAATATTTATAAGTTTGACTGCAGATGATTCTTATTTTCAATTTCCCCTTTGTCGCGAAAACTCTCGTGTGAAAACATTGTACGCGTGCATATGAAGACTAATACAAAAATATCCAACTAAGATCTCTGTCCAAGTGTCCATGTTTATAGCGAAGGGCATCTAGGACGAGGGCTCATTGTCACATTTCAAAATAATTCGAAAAGTTTACGTTCTAACGGTTGTATTTTCATTCAGCAAAGTATAAGTTTCACAATATACCTAATATTATAACCTTTACACACCGAACTATGTTTATTTTCTAATTAAGGTAATTATTCACTTTGGCATGCATCCTTCAGAGCACACCCTTTCTCAAAAGAATTGTAACAATAACAAACTTCGTACCTATACTAATGGAATTTGCCAATGTAGGAAGAAGAGTATCAAACATCAGAAACCAACCATTATCCAAGGTAGTCAACGAAAAATATAACTGATCATCTTATAATACTACACAGCAAAAGAAACCATTACATTACCTTTCTATCTTGTCGATCCTGCTCTATGGGGCGAACTTGTTTCTCCTTCATCTTATCATACACCCCATCGTAGTCAAACGCCGAAGGATCTTCTTCAAGCGCCTTCTTATGCTGCTCCTCAACCTAAAAGGAATGGCAAAGATAAATACATAAAGAAATATTCCGTTTTAAATCCATCAAAAAGCAAAAACTCAACAAATGAGGAAGTGGTTAAACTATTTGAGAGAGAAGGGATGGGGAACAAACATCTCTGTGAGTTTTGTTCTTGTAGGCCTGGCGCAAAATATCTCTCTCAACATTATCTTCATCCTCGTCGTTAAACCCAAGTGGAGTGGGTAGTGGGGGTCTAGTTGGCTGTTTTTTCTGCTGTGGAACCCTAAGTTGCAGCCCGTACTTCTTCATTTCCTTTTATTTTTTCTCCCCTCTTTGATTTAGTAAACCTGAAATTCGACCTCCAAATTTCAGTGTTCAATCAAAACAGAAGCATCATAATATTCCAAATGCCGAAAAA